GGGAACATGTATGAAAGAAGAATCACATGATCAAACAGGAAGCCAAAAAGTGAGAAGGAACCATTTGTGTTGTTCTAACAATTCATCATTCTCCCGAGAATGACTAACTCATTCCATATGGCCAGGAGCAGTCCCTTCCAAGGGTAACGCTGCCAATGACCTAACCAGCTCCTGCTAGGCCCTACCTCTCAAAAATTCCACCTCTTAAAATTTCTACCACCTGTCAACACTGGCATCATTTCCAGCTCAGGAACCCCCAAGGGCCTCTTTACCTAGGGTGCCTTCTGCCCTCAGATAGCCTTCGAGATTCCTCTCTTAGCCACATATTCTAGAATGACAGTTGCTGCCTCCTTCATACACATATGCAAACTCCCTCCTTCTTCCCTTGCTTGTCACCATCACTAACAGAAGCATGTCTTGTTGCTTTACCTTGCTTTTCATCTGCTTTACCAAATAGGCTATCAGCTCCATAAGAACAAGGATTCTTGTTTGTTTGCTCATGGCTGAAAATCAGTACCTGAAGAGTAACTACCCAATACCGGGTGCTCAATGGTTTTTGTGCATAGATGGGAAAATGTGTGGCAAGCAAATGCAGCAGCAGATTACTAATTACAGAATGTGATGATAGTTAGGAAATGAATGAATTAATAAATGCATGGTTTTGTCCTTTAAGTCCCAATGGACATATTGTTTGTACTATTGACAGGGCACTTAAAATGATCATATATAAATCCTGAATACTAACTAGTGATATGCTGAAGTTCTTATCTTAGCATTAGAGCATGCTGCTGCCTGCCATCTGTCTACAAATGCATCCAAAAGGGTAAGCTGGTTGACGACTGGGCATATAGAGAAACACGTGGCAGGCAGACACAACAGTAGGAATATTGCAGGATGTGACAGTAGCCAGATACTCGTTCACTGTGGAAATACTTCAACTTTTTATGTGCTTGAAAGTTTATATAATAAATTTTGGGGGGATCATAATGCTTTACAGAGAGAAATCTTACAGAGGACTATGAACTTTAGTTGCCCACCAACTGTTGTCTGTCCGACTGTCAGACTGGTTTGGGGTAGTTTGTTGTTTTAACTGCATTTTATTTATTTATTTATTTTTTTTTTTTTTTTTTTTTTTTGTGTGGGTGTGTGTGTGTGTTTTTGTGTATGGGCATTTGGGGGGGCCTGTTTTTACCATAACCAAAGGGTGTTAGCGCATGTGGGGGGTGGTGAGTAAGAACTCTGAAGA